GTATTTATATTGCTTAGTAGAGATACTAATGAGAGTAGGGATTAATCTTATATAATAATAATTATAAGATATTTCTTATATTTGATGTGTGTTTTCTCTTCTTTTTTTTATCCCAATATATGCTATGGCATTTACATACTCAGATACTGATATAAAGATATATATATATATATTAATAATTATAAATTTACAAAGTCAACGTTAAAGGGTATCTAAGTCATTTCAACTATTTTTGTTAGTCAACACCCAGTTAAAAGGACAATAATGTTATTTTACATGTAAAAAGTGGTCTTACACATCTAAAAAGTAACTGTTGGAGTATGAGTGAAAATAAGAGTAAACGTTTGTAATGTGAGTGATAGTAATTTTCGAAAGATGTTTCAAGTGATATTTGGTCAAACTTGAGGGGGGTGTCAGCGAAATTAACCCTATAATTTTTGTATTTTAATTATTAATAATAATATGTATCTCCAAACATTCCACAAAGTATACACTTTTTTTTTTTTTTTTTTTTTTTTTTTGTCATTAGTAAGAAATTCACACACCCACCCACTTTGCTCCTTTGGAGAATGGTGGGGGTAAATGAGATATCACTAGACCATAAGGCCCTTGATAAGTATACATGGCCTTTAACATATGTACAAATATTTAAATAAATAAAATTCATAAATCAAAATTTTAAATATTTTATACAAAAACACACATATATAATAACATATAAGTGGATAAATGTTTCGGAGGCACTCTTACCAGAAACTCACAAACACCACTCACACACCCATTTTGCTCCTTTAGAGACTCGAACCATGTCAAGGTTTCATTTGGTTAGATAGAATCAACTAGAAAATAAAGGAAATATAAGTTTTTTTTTTTGTATTTTTTTGTATTTTTTTTTTTTTTTGTAATTTGGTTAGATAGAAAAGGAAAAGTCTTAAAAAATTAAGATTCTTGTAACTCTTTATTTTCTCCAAAATGTTTCCCGCACAAAACACGTAAAAAATTTATTTTCCCGTGAAAGTATCGTCTTTTTATTTAGTGTTCCTATTTTACCCAATAACTTCATTGATAATATTTTACCCAACTTCATCTATATTTGGAAACAGCAACAATTTTTTACTGGATTTCAAAGAATTATAATCTACCAACAACTTTATCATAGATAAAGTTTTAATTAACTTGATTTTTATTCCTAGTTATTTTTCATCATATATGAATAATAGTAGTTCAGAAGGTCTAAATTAATTAAAAAATTTATCATTTTTTAAATATATTTTATTATTAATTCTTTATTATTTTATTATTTTTATAAAATAAGGATAATTTAAGTATCCACACTATAATATGATATTTTTTCTTAAGTAAATTTTTATCATAATCAAATACATATTAGAAAGAAAAAAAAAAAAAAATCATTTTTCATTTCTTTTCTTTTCATTTTCGATCTAACCAAACGGAGCTTTTGAAAAGTAGAGAAAATATTTCACTTTGAAAGATAAAGGAAATATCATTTTACCATACAGTCCTTGATATTACAAATTTAGAATTTAATTAACATATTTTTAGCTCTATCACATGGGAAACCAAAAAATTAAACCCAAGTGAGGATGGTCCCACTTTGGATAGGCACAGTCATGTGGGTAAAGGTCACTTATCAAACGGGGTAAGTGCAAAAAACACCCCTCTAGTTTGAAAAATGTGCAAATAACACCCCTTGTATTCAAATCACACCCCCGTAGTATGAAAAGTGAGCAAATGGTGGCTTATTGTCAGAAAAATAAAGTGATATCAGCAAATAGACTAAAATGCCCTTAAATATACATATAACAAAAATAATTAAAAAACCTTAAAAGGCGAAATTACCTCAAAGGGCTATGGGGACATGACACCGTTTTGATCTTTAGTCCAACAAACTCAATCATCTTCCACAAAAAACGCAACGACGCATCTCCCACAAAAAAACCCCATCACCAAACCGCCCCCCATCACCACCACCACTGCTGCCCCCATCACCATCCCACAACCACGAACACACCGGCAACCATCACCAACACAGCCCACCACCACCACAATCTCTTCCCACAACCATAATAAAATATAAAAAAACACTAGTCACCTATCCACCGCCGTCGCCACTACAACACTCACCGGGAAGTGCCATCATCGATACACTTTTCAAGCTTTCTAGCTTCTTGCTGATGTTGTATTTGTGTAAATCCTCTCTACTTCATGTTTGCTACTGTTTTCGCTCTCCTCTGTGTGTCTATATCTATATATATCTCTCTAAATATATGTATGAAAATATAAAATTTATGTGTGCGTATGTGCAGAATTTGATGACTAGTAATTTCAATTGTAATCCCAATACATAATCAATAAGAATTCGTTTAATTAATGAATTAATAACCCAACACTTGCGGCATCAGATTTTCTTGAAACCCTCACAACCATTGCAACCACTGTGTATTCCAGTGAAATAACCACGCCAAGTGTCTCACGATCGGCGACGGCGAGTTTGATACAGTGGAAACAACCCTTGGTTCACGATGGCGGCGTGGTTCAGACCACGAAACGGCAACATGATTCACGTCAATAGCATAGTTTAACCTGCGACACCTGCAATCTTTGGTGTGATCCAACTCTTCCATCATTGTCGCAATGATAAACTAATTGATTTACACCTGCCATCGACGCTTGATCAAAATCTTCACCAAACTCACCCAAATCTGAACTCCCAATAACCCTAAAAAATAGGAGTATCAATCATCTCCCATAGGGATGGCAATGGGGCGGGGTGGGGCTGGGATCTCATTCCCCATCCCCATCCCTGCTGAATTTTTCAATCCCCATCCCCGCCCCCATCCCTGCTTAAAATTTCACCACCACCCCCATACCCGCCCCTGCCCCCGACCTCTTATCCCCATCCCCGATTAACATATATTATTTTTTTAAAAAAAAACATAATTTTTCTTATTTTCATATATATATATATATATATATATATATATATAATAAATCTAATTTATTACTAATAAATTATTAAATGTAAGGGTATATTAGTACTTTAATACTTAATCGAGGCGAGGCGGGGCAGGTTTACCCCATCCCCGACCCGGGCAGGTTTTCAAAATTTACCCCAATCCCCATCCCAGTTTACATAAAAGGGTCCCATCCCCACTATAAACGGGGCAGGCGGGGACCCGGCGGAGATGGGGAATTTGCCATCCCTAATCTCCCACAACCATAATTCGGCTGTGATGTAGACTCTTTCATGAAAAGAATCGAACCTGTCGATCACCTTACTTCGAAAATTGCCTCCCACCGTTGATATCCCAAAAAAAAAAAAAGACGATCTTCCTCAACCTAGACGAGACTCTGGTTCACTCCACACTGGAAAAGTACAATTTCATTGTTCGGCCGACATGATAGTGTAGAGAAAGTATGTAAAGTTAATGTGTAAAGATTATTGATGAGGTGTAATTTTTCTGGACAGATGGATGGCTAGGATTGTCTAGGACCATAGATGAGGTGGTGTACCGAGACTACCTAATAATCTCATTGAAGGATTGTTTGGGAAGTCCAAAAGGGATATGTTGGTATTTAGGAGCATTTTTTGGTCACATGACATGCACATGTCGCTTTTTGGGGTCAAAAGCCCTCATTTGCTCACTTTTTATACTACGGGGGTGTGATTTGAACACTGGGGGTGTTATTTGCACATTTTTCGAACTAGATGAGTGTTTTTTGCACTTACCCCGTTTTGATTGTATTTATTTCTTAAGTTGTGTTTGGTTATATGGAAATTTTGAAATGGCTACAATTCTGTGCTCATTTATCAGTTTTTGACCCTTTTTTTTTTTTTTTTTAATAATCTTTTGAGATCATATGTTTCAAATTGTTATAAAATCACTAGAGCTGACTTGATTTTAAATTCTTTGGACCCATAACATCAACGTGGGCTATCTACCCTGATACGAATTATTCTACTAGATAAGAATTTCAAGTGACATGGAGACTCAAAAGGTATAGATAAGAAACAACTCGAATTCAAATGAAAGATGAGAGATGAGATAAGGGTAAGTGATTTATCCTCCCCAAAATCTCTATGAATCGTAAAAGTCTCTGGTTACCATATGTAACGATAGTTACCATCTCCTATAAGAAGGAAACGATATCATTTTGGATCGGAGAGAATCTCGCTTCAACAACTACTACCATTAATGCTTCTATAAAAAAAGTGATCGATCAACCTAAAAAGGTATGCCATAAATTTCATATTTAATCCTTATCGGATATTGAATCGTCAAGTACTAACTGGACCGTCGGAGTGCACCCGGTCGGCACTACGCCGGTCGTCACTTCTCTCTTGTCTTACAAGAAACACCCCGCTTCGGACCTTACAGATTTTTGCATCAACATACCCTTTTAAGATTGACACATTGCAATTCTTTTACTAGTACATAAAAAAAAGTAGCTGCCAAATTTAATGTGTGTGTGTGAATGACATCAAAGTTCAAGCCATTTTGTCCCAAGATTATTATGGCAATGAAAATGTCCATTTACATAGTCGTTGATATTAAATGATCCAATAAATATGAAATTAAATTTTAACATTTCGCTAGGGTCCTCCTTTAGTCTGCACAATAGTTTAAAGAGGGCGGATTTGGTGTAACAATAAGACTGATCTATTGCAACAATGCAACTTGATGCTCATAGGTTGGAAAATAATATCTGGGACACAAAACACAGGTTTATTGTGGTTTTATTCATGCATCAGCAAAGAAAAGGTTGCATATAGTCATAATATATCCATAAGAAACAAATACAATTGGCTCTTATTTATTCAAATTTATTCGTTCATAGAATATAAATATTGCACCTACTTAGTTTGTAACTCTGAAATAGTTCTTAAGAATTCAAAAAATAGAAAACTAGTTTTAAAGAACTGTAAAAGACGGTTTTCTGAAAATAGGTTTTTTGTTTTAACTGAAATACTTCTTCTAATTTTAAAAACAAACTTATTGCTATGAAAAACAAGAAAAATACTTTCGATACATGACATGAAAGTGAAAAAGGTGGTGATGGGTTTCAAGGGCACTTGGGTGTGCCCTGGGAGCTGAGCATGTCTCTATAGCAAGGGCACTCCAACTTGTTTCCATATGTCCCTGAAGGAACACAGCTGCACTTCTGGCAGCACAGATTGCAGTACTTCAAGCAACGTTTTGGTATTCGAGCACTCCCACATCTCACTCCACACTTTGAATCGCAGAAACCTTCCAATATTATACAAAACAACACCAATTAGTTCAATAATAAAAAATAAAAAATTATGTAGAAAATGTATCATTACTTGGTGTGATGGTAAAGGTTAAGTATCACTGCCAATTTAATAATGCCATTAATTTAAATTGTTTTCGTTCAAATTATGTGTCACTGCTTGTTGCATGTCGTACAAATAATAGTGCTCTTTGATAATGAAAAGTAGAAAGGGGGTTGTTGACAACTTTATGAAATTTTTGAATGACACTTGGTTGTCCAGCCCAATTCAGACTCTTTGATTAAAAAATGTCATATATATATATATATAAACATGAAAAACTGGCTTTTTAAAAAAATCACTTGAACCTGTCACCCCACACACACAGGGTGAGGGAGGATTTAATTAAACTCATATTTTAGGTGAAGAAAATTATATTACTTGGATCAGCCATGGTTGGTTGAAGGAGAGAGAAGCTCAGAACCAGAGAAGCTATAAGCAAAGTGGCCAAAACAATCTTCATCTTTTCTTCTTTGAAAGGGTTAATGGTAGAAAGAGAGATTTAAGCTGTCTGGCTAGTAGAATGGGCTCAACTAAACCACAGAAAAATAGATTTTAAGAAGTGATGGTCATATGAGACCTTGTGGGGTATTTATATTTGCTAATCACAAGTCTACTTAAAAACTAATATAATTATGTGTGTGTGTGTGTGTGTGTGAGAGAGAGAGAGAGAGAGAGAGAGAGAGGTGACCATTTTTCATGAAAATAGTATTCAGGTGAGGGAGGTGAGTATGGAGGAGAGGAGAGAGAGAGAGAGAAAACAAAACAAAAAAATGTACAGCTCCATACAGACTGTAAGTTGGCTCATTTGGTGGGAGTGGAGAGGTTGTGGACTTTGCTGAGTCTTTAGGTTACAAACCAGAGAGGTTTTGGTATGGAGAAGGGTTCATGCAGCTCTCTAAAGCAAAGAATTCCAAATTAAAATTTCACTACTTTAGTTGTCCTATCTATCTAAGTAGAGTGAGTGCTCTACTATTTTATGTCCATGTTGTTGATACCTAATGCCATTCTTGGTAGATAACAGGCTGTGCTTTCAGTCCCCACTTGCATTTGTTTACTGATCAACATTGCACTTTTTTTCTTGGGGTAGGTATCAAAAATGCACATTTTTTTTGGGGTAGGTATCAACAATTCACATTGAAAGATGGATTTGATGAGGTTTGGTTTGCACACTCTTTTAGCTTATTAATAGTTAGAAAATCATTTTGACTTCCACTTTTAGTACATTTAAGAAGATCACATGTAATCTAACAACTCTGCTAAACGTTATAAATGGTTAATTACACCTGCTATAATAGCAATTGCCCTGTTGTCTTAATAGCAATTTTTTCTGGGGGTAGGTATCAACAATTCATATTTTTTGTGTGTTCGAACCTTGCACTATTTTCCTCCTCTCTAATTACTAACCATTAACCCTTAACATTTTTGTCATAAAAAATAATAATAATAATAACATAAACTTTTAAAATAGACGGTTGCTTAAACATCGTAGGCACTAAAATTAGTAACAATTTGTTCACAGTTGGATCTTCTTTAATGGATCAATCAAAAGTCATATTCAGTTACCAACAGCCAGTGACTTAGCGGTATCAACTTCTTACATCTCAAATGGAGGATAGAAGTTCAAATCTCTAAAGAGATATGTACGTGAGTACCAACTTAAAAAAAATAATAATAAATAAAAATTCAGTTGGGGCCTGCCATGCCAAATTGAATCCAACACAACACAAAATAAGGGTGAGGGTTGATTTAAATTATCTATCTAGTCCGAGCCCACTTGCAAATTAAATTACTACTATCAACTAGTCTAAGACCCACTGGGAGTAGATAGTTAAATAAAGGGTTAAGTGAAAAAAATTCTCCCTTAATTTTTATTTTTACAGTTAACTACCAAATCTTTTTTTTTTTTTTTGCAAATACCCCAGTTCCCGTTCAAATTTCGGTGTGAATTATCAACCTTAAAGTGGTGTCTGACATCACATGACCTAAGCATAAATTTTAAATGCAAAGAATAGCCTCATTACCCATTTAAATCGGATTGTCTTGACCCGATTTAAAACTAACTTCAGAACCCAAATCTGGTCTGCTTCTTCTTCATTCAACGAACAAACCAATAAGAACAACCAACAGATCCGATGATGGCGAAGATCTGGAGAGGAATACGATGGTGACAGTAAGAATCAACGCGGTGGTGACAAGGTCGATGGCTGTGATGGTGTTTCGACGGCAAGACCCATCGACGTGGTTGTTGCAGCGGCAGTGGTTTCAGTGAAAGTTCTATTATATGGTTTTGTCGATGATGGGTTGATAATTTTACGATCGCGATTGGGTTTGCCTTGGTGATCGCTCTTGGGCTTTTGCGATTGGTTTGCTGCTTGATCAACGACATATTATTTGGATTTTGCGATTAGAGTTGCTTGGTGATCGACAACAATGGTGAGGAAGAGGCGGTCGTCGGTGGTGTTTTTTTAATAAGATGATGAGTTGTCTAATTCTTTTTGGTTCTTCCATATAGCGGGGTAAGTGCAAAAAGTTTGAAAATTTTTTCCTCTAAACATTTTTCGTGTTCAAATCACACCCTCAGTATGAAAAGTGAATAAATGAGGACTTCTGACCCCAAAAAGCAACATGCGCATGTCACGTGATCAAAAAATGTTCCTAAATACTACCATTGTCCTTTTGGACTTCCCAAACTACCCCTCAATAAGATTATTAGGTAATCCTGGTGCACCACCTCATCTTTGGTCCCGGACAATTCTAGCCATCCATCTGTCCAGAAAAAATACACCTCATCAATAATCTTTACACATCAACTTTACATACTCTCTCTACACTGTCATGTCGGCCGGACAATGAAATTGTACTTTTCCGGCGTGGAGTGAACCAGAGTCTCGTCCAGGTTGAGGAAGATCGTCTTTTTTTTTTTTTTGGGACATCAACGGTGGGAGGAGATTTTCGAAGTAAGGTGACCGACAGGTTCGATCCTCTTCATGAAAGAGTTTAGATCACAACCGAATTATGGTTGTGGGAGATGATTGATACTCCTGTTTTTTAGGGTTCTTGGGAGCTCAGATTTGGGCGAGTTTGGTGAAGATCTTGATCAAGCGACGATGGCAGGTGTAAATCGATTTGTTTATCGTTGCGACAACGATGGAAGAGTTGGATCACGCCAAAGATTGCAGGTGTCGCAGGCTGAACCATGCCGCCGACGTGAATCATGTTGCCGTTTCGTGGTCTGAACCACGCCGCCATCGTGAACCTTGTTGTTTCCACTGTATCAACTCGCCACCGCCGATCGTGAGACACTTGGCGTGGTTGTTTCGCCGGAATACACAGTGGTTGTGATGGTTGCGAGGGTTTGAAGAAAATCTAATGCCGCAAGTGTTGGGTTACTAATTCATTAATTAATCGAATTCTTATTAATTATGTCTTGGAATTACAATAGAAATTACTAGTCATCAAATTCTGCACACACGCACACATAAATTTTATATTTTCATACATATATATAGATATTATAAGACTTGGATTTAAAAATTAATTTCATTAATATAATTTAATGTTAATTTGACATGATTTATATATAAATATTATATAAAGTAGTTTATTTTGTGAAATTTATAATTTGTGTCAAGTTTATTAGTGACACCCAGTTGAATATAGTAATACTGTAACTAATGGTAGTGGAACCGGTGATATGTTGGTGTTGGTGAGAATATCATAAAAATGGGTATGTATCTTAAGTTATATGTGTTTGGCATAAACTAGCAAGTGGTGTGATGGTTAGGAGAATAACTTTAGTTCATATTATCATAATAATATCTTTTCATTTAAAGCTTACCACATAAGCTTTGTAATTGACCAAGTATATAGTACATGTATATATATGTAGGGGTAAACTGTTGGGACAAGTTAAAACACATCACACCTACACCTGCATGTCTAGATATAAAGAGTTTTACAAGCTTCCTTTGGAAGTTGTTAGCAACCAGCACAGATGAGTCACGAAAAAAAAAAGAAAAACAAATTGAACACTGAAGTGACACGTGGTGTAAATAAATTAATAGGGTATTGAAGCTTACCTTTGAAAACTTCTGGATCTGCAAATTGTACAAATGATATAATAGTTTTTTTAAAAAAAAGGGAAATTCGTGGAAGAGAGAGAGAGAAAACAGAAAGGGTGGAGAAAAGCAAAAGAAGAGAAGAATTTTCGTACGGGTAGAGAGAGGACAGAAAGAGAAGGAAGGGAATTGTAACTGTGCTTGTCGGATACATCAAGTTCTGAAGGGAACAATTCCCTTTGCTAAATTGCTAGGAAATTTCTCAATTAAAAGTTTAATTATTAAATTGTATGAATTAATACAATTGTTTTCTCTCTAAACTGTTGGGTTGAGATTTTGCAGAAATGATTATGATGACAATTTTATTTATAGTTGTGTTTTGAGAATTTATTTTTGAAGTAATGATTTTTATTAAATTCTTTGAGAAATAAGTATAATCTGGTTTGTGGGTTTTACATAAATTGCATATATCTTGAATTATTTCACTTCATTGACTCAACTATTAAATTATCTAAGTTGAGATAATTGTTAGTTGTTGGAATTGTTGAATTAAATATGATGTGCAGATCAATTTAGTCAAGAAGCTTCCTAAAGAAGCTGTGAGAACGGCCCTACCAGACTAGTACTCATAAACCTAGTGTATCAGTGAAATAATTTGGGAAGAAATGGCTAGAAAGAGAGGAAGAAAGAAAGAGAAAAGTGAGAGAAACAATTGTTGCTGGGCTTTTGTGCACTAAGCAGTAAAAGTAAAGAAGTTTTTATTTCAAATGTTATATCAAAATCTCATTATTTAGTCTTTAGTAATCAATTGAATTAACTAGTCATTTACCAGTAATGGCTACCTTGGATGAGTGGATACCTTGATTAATTTCCTTTGAAATATTAAGTTGGAAATTAATATAGATATGTGTGATCCAAATTTTAGTTATAATCATGTACAAAAGTTGGGATTTATTATGAAGGTTGTGATGAATATTAATTAATTCTTTTTAGAAATTAATATAACGTGATTACAATTTTCTTCAGAAAAGGAAAAGGAGCAGACAACTTTTGCAATACAGAAGGATAAATAAATAATTTGAAAGTAACCAAGGTGAGTGTATTTACTGGAAGTTTATATTTGGATATGTTTAATTGAAGTATTGAAGCTGTTTATATGAATTTAAGATGAATATATATATAACTTGATTATATTATATAAGGTCCATACTCTGACCTGGAAAGAGAGTAATACATTATATAAGGTCCATACTCTGACTTAGAAGGAGAGTAATACATTAAATAAGGTCCATACTCTGGTCTAGAATGAGAGTATTATATTATATAAGGTCCATACTCTGGCCTAGAAGGAGAGTACTATATTTTAAATGCCTGTAAAACTGAAAGTTATATGTTATAAAGCTAAATTGAAGTTATCAGATAATATTTGTTTATATTACACTGATGCAGTAGTATTGCATTCACTAGGCTTTAAGTTCACTCCTTCCATATCTATATTTTCAAGTACAAGGTTGGGTCGCTACTTTCAGGTCTAGAATCTTGAGTGGGAATGGCGAAAAGAACAATGGAACGTCTTTTGTTTAAGATGTAAATATTGTAGTAGAATTTAATAGTGTAGTTTCTCGTTAACGTTTTACTTTGTCAGAATTTGCATAACAT